CTCCGGCTGCCCCCCGCTCTCCGGCTGCCCCCCGCTCTCCGGCTGCCCCCCGCTCTCTGGCTCCCAGCATCCCTCACTTGTACATCACTTTGGACCGAAGCATCTGCTAAATAAATAAATGAATTTCAAATACTTATGAGACTGAGAAGGTCTCAGTCAATTCAGTCTGTTGGCCAGGAGGGCGGCGACAGGATGCAGAATCACCCAGGCGCCTCGTTTCCTGTGACAGCTGCAGCTTCCGCATCGGCCGAGTGTCCCAGTGAAACCCATGCGGACACAGAAACACTTGTGTGTGCTTTCACACTCACGTTTATGCGTTTATGCCGAAACACGCACAGCCAGCAGGGTGTGTAAGAGACACCCCCACGGCTCCCACGCGGCCCCAGCTCACTGCAGCGCCACCGGGCTGCTGAGATGAACACGAGGACGCCTGAACACGTCCCTGCTGCCCCACTTTGCTCTGAAGAATGCACCTCTCTGGGTGGATCTTCGAATCCTGCAGCAGATGTTGCAGCTCTGAGGTTTATCAATGGCGGTCTGTTCTTCCGCTGCTCTCCCTGCAGGCTCACGGGGCTTCAGAGAGGAAAGAGCAGATCCCAGAGCCGCCATCCTACACACTGCACCCCCCCCCACCGAGATCCTGCGAGTTCCTGAAGCTGCACTCAGTTGACTTCAGTTACGTTGTCTCTGCATCTCCTGTCATGGCCCTTAATCTGACTCAGTGAAATGTGACAGCAACCAGTAAATGGAAGCGATACTGTGATGTTAACTGCGCTAAACAGTGTGTGGCTCAGTGGGCTAAGCCTGTGTGCCTGCAATCAGAAGATCAGCGGTTCAAACCCAGCCTCAGAACGTCTGCTGGTCCTTGAGAAAGGCCCTTAACCCCCTGGGCACTACTATGGGTGGCTGCCCTTCGCGGACAACTTACTCTACAAAGAGGAAGTTGAGGGAGGCATAAAAGCAATTTCCCCACGGGGACAATAAAGTATCTATTATTATAATTAAAGTCGAAGTGTTGGAAGTTCCCAGAGACAGGATGTGATGTCACTAGCTTACTCTTACCTCAGCCCCCCGCAGCCACTGACAGCCACACTTGAGTCATCCTCTCCTGCCACCACACCATGGAAAAAGCAGCTCTCCTGGAAGGTTAAAAACAGCAGAGTAATTAACAGGTTACGTGAAGAAGTGGTGCTGATTTTATGGAGGTGTACCCATCTGTTCTGTCCACGAACCTGGTGTGGGGAGAAGGTGCGCCGGGCCCCATCTGGGCTGTACCACGTCTCCTTGTATCTGGGGGAAAACAGCTGCCTTTCACAGAGAAAAAGATCACAGTGTAACTCACTGCATCTGGCTACCTCGTGTTACAAGGCCCATCGGGTGATTTTATATCGGGTGTCAGACGTTTTCAGGGAAAGGCCGGGAGGAGAGCGATGGAGAAGTCATCACAGCACAGACAGCACCCCCCCATATCACGGACAATTATTCATCAGCTTCCATTTTGATGCAAATAAGGAGTGTGGCTGTTAGCACAGCTCCTCGGCATGGACAGCCTGTGTTTCGCCAGCGTGCGGCAGGCTCGCATCTCCGGGAGTCCAAATAGCGTGCATCAGCTTACAACGCGGCCCGGGCTTCAGGACATGGGCCTCACGGCTGGGAAATGGAGACTGCATTCATAAACCTAAGAGGCTACATTTCTGACCATAAAAAAACACGTCTTGCTCGACAGCTCAGCCAGATGGTGTCCTATTTAATAATTCTTTTTCAAAGATAAATGCAGCCGCATCTTGAATGAAACATTTTATTTCTGCCTGTTTATTTTATAATTTTTTCTTAAATTTTCTCTTTTGACAGTGTCCATGACGAGCTGAAGCAAAGTTAGAAGTAGGATTTACTGGCCACACTGATCTTTACTTACAAATGGAAGCCTAAATCAAATACAAGCCTCCCCCCCCCCCACCCCACCCCACCCCACCCCTATCTTAAGATGATGTCACAACATTATGGTGGACCTGTTAAACAGCCCTTTCATCACGGGGGTGCCCTTATTCTGAGCACTGCGTATCGCCTGCTCCATGCAGTGGTGAATCCCAGCTCAGGTATTATGTGCGTGTTCTGTGTGCTTGTTCATGTTGCTGGACTGTCACACGTTTCCCCACCGAAAGGTGTGACAGCACAGAGACACTGTCCCAGTGTTTATACTGGCCACTCCGGTGCTGGTGGGCAGGGTCCAGAGCCAGCAGGTGACCTTCTGAGTGCATTTACCTGTACAGACACCCTAGTGCTGTCCACACGCAGTGTTCACCTGTTTACTGTGGACCCTAGCATCATGCATGCTAACATCATGGCTTAACGAGGTGAAAACAAAGAGAATCTCACATCAGAGAGGATTGTGGGACAATGCAAAGAGAGGACAACACATCACTGAATCTCAAAAACACACTTCTGATAACATTTGTTTGTCTTTCCTATTCTGGCTTAATCCTTAATCCTATGGTAACCGCACAGTTAACTCTCAGTTTACAAATCTACAACGATTGGCACAATATAAAACGTTAAGTGACAGTTCGTTAACAACGTGATTCAAGGTTCAAACAAAAATAAAGTACTTTTATTTTGACCAACACAAAGCGTAAAGCACAAAGCGGAGCAGTTACAGGCGTTCAACTTCATGTCACTATTTAATGGTGGAAAAACCAGACTTTGCACCAGCGCAAGGCGGACAAGGGCTGGCGTAACTCTCTTAATTATTCAGAGGCGTAACATATAATGAACCAATCAGAATGGTGCATCACCTCACCTTTAATAAGTACAGTACAGACCATATTCCTTTCTCCAGCCAATTTTCATAGAATAAAGAATCATTCCTATATACCATATATCTACAATTCCAGTATGATGTTTTACGAGGGTTGAAGTTTATAAATCAATTTCCAATATAGTAAAACTTGTTGATGAAATGCAGATAATTTAATAGGGAGCCTTTTTAGGTCACAGTCAGCTCTTGGAAGGAAGTTGATGGCACCTAGCCTCATAAAAACTTGGTTCGGGATATGAAACCAGAGGCTATCTACATTTTTCAAAAAGGATCGTAGCCAATTTATTTTAATAGGACCATAAACACAGTCAAAATCAATGGCTTTCATCCCTCCTGCCTTATATTCTTTAAACATTGTTTCCTAATGTAGTTTGTCTTTGTCTTGCAGATATAATCGAGCAGATCATCTACGGGAGCAGCACCCCCCACCCAGCTGAGACAGCTGCCCCCGCGACCCGACCTCGGATTAAACGGGAGATGATGGATGGATGGACGGACGTCCGGACGCCCACGCAGGGGCTCAAAAAGAGGGCGTGTCCGGGGAAACCCGGATGGACGGTAACGCTATGAAAAGCGTATAAAATTACTTGAATTGAATTGACATGAAATGTCACCATGGAAGACTGCAGCAGTGCTGAGATGCTGACCTCTTGTGTGGCACTGAGGAGGCAGTCAGACCACCCAGAGATACAGCAACGGTGGAGGGCGTCTAAATCATGGCGGAGTTACGAAACAGGCATCAGCAGAGTCTCAGCCAAACACACAGGCGTCGCTAAGAGGCCAATGCTCCGCAGCAACCGCCTTCGAATCTCCCCCAGCCAGGTTTTGGCTGTAGTGAACTGCCATAGGTCACTGCGACGCAAACAGAAACCCCAAGGACACGCCTCCCGCCAGTGCCACTAGCCTCTGATCGATCCCCGGTTCCGCCAAGGACACGCCTCCCGCCAGTGCCACTAGCCTCTGATCGATCCCCGGTTCCGCCAAGGACACGCCCCCCGCCAGTGCCACTAGCCTCTGATCGATCCCCGGTTCCCCCAAGCAAGACGGGAATGACTGTGTGGCGCTGAATGAAGTGCTTGGTTTACTGGCTCGCCCATTTTAAATTTGTACCAAGTCCTTAACCACGGTTCAGCTTGGGTGCTCTGTAACTGGCGTCTCATCCAGACAGGTCGAGGGAGGGGGAGGGAGAGAGAGAGGGAGCGAGAGAGGGATGCCAGCTGTCCCTGAGAGCTTTTCACAGGTCCACAGTGTACAGGCGCTTGGCAACGGCAGGGATTCAGGGGCCTGGGGTGGGGGGGGGGCAGGTGCTCTTGTTGAGGACATTAGAGGAGACTGATGTGCTGGCAGGCTGATGTGTGTACGGACCCCTACCCTACAGAGATAAAGAACGACATTAGGACATCCGGGCAGTTACAGAAGGAAATAACTCAACGTGCCCCCCCGCCCCACCCTGAGAGCTCACCGGTGGTCTAAATTACAACTGGCCATCATTTAATACTTTCTGTAAAGCCTTCGGAAGGAGGACAGTATGATTTCCTCAGGCAGCAGACATGATGGAACGGTCTACATATAAAGTTTAACAGCCTTCACTGGTGTAGAAAACCTTTTTCTGAAGCACCGGGCAGCAGGATGGGTTAACAAGACATTTTCTCTCCCTGATGGAGCTGAAACAACCATTAGCATATTCCCTCGTTCCCCTTAGAGATAAAAAGCCTGAGAAACGGTCAGACGTTGGCTAGGAACCAGGCTCTATTCAGAAATGTGCCTCCCATACACCCTGAACAGTGCGAGCCCACACCACACCCCCCCTCCCTCCCCATACGCACCGCCTCAGTCTCCCCCCCACCCCCCCTCGCCTTCTTTAGATGCATAATGGCCAACATTTAGCGCCCGTGCAGGAATGAAGCGACGGCAGCCGATGCAGGCCTGGGTTCTGCCTGAGCATTTGAGGAGCGTAATGGGGTCCATCTGCCTCATGCGGGAACAAAGAGGCTCGGTGCAGCTCGGGCAGCAGGCAGCCGCGCCAATGCAGCGGGGTCAGCGGGGCACATTCCCCCGGGACATCGCATGACATCATCCCTGGGGGGTGCGAGTAGCTGGCTGAGGAATGGGGTGATGCAACAGAAGATCATGCAGTCTGAACGGGAGCCATGGATGGTGGCCTGGGGCAGCCATGACAGGCCAACGTGCTAAAGGTCACTAAAAGCACCTAAATGGCCCAAGAGCCATGGGGGGGTGGGGGGTCAAAAATGAAAGGGGGCGACGTGAAATCGAATCCAGCAAAGAAAAGGCTTAATGACATTTGTCTGGTGAGAAGGTACAATGCGGCCAGGTCACGGTAAATGAATGGGGGGGGGGGATGGGCGAGTGCCCCATACACCAAGTGTGAGGAGCAGAATTTCTGATCACTCTGCTGTCCACCTGAACGCCACCCAAGCCCGTCCCCTGCAGTCCCCTCCCTGCCTGAGTCAGCACAGACCCCCACTCGCCATAGGATCTTCAATTAGGATAAAAGCCTTGCTGCACAAATGAAATTCAGGACGTTTCGGCACAGAGAGGGAGGATGGCTGCCGGCCACACAGGGTGAGAGGTGTGCGGACGAGAGCCAGGGTGACGGAGACAGCGGGGGGATACACGACGACAAAAGATAATCCAGGGAAGAAGTGGGAGAGGGGTCTGCGGGGAATGGTGAATGGGAAGACAGGGGAACGTGAGACAGGGAGAGAGGTCTGCGGGGAATGGTGAATGGGAAGACAGGGGAACGTGAGACAGGGAGAGAGGTCTGCGGGGAATGGTGAATGGGAAGACAGGGGAACGTGAGACAGGGAGAGAGGTCTGTGGGGAATGGTGAATGGCAGTCTGTGCTGAACACAAGTCCACTATTTCGCACGGACTGGCACCTCAAACGGAGCCTGGTGTGCAGACATGGAGGCTGGCACAGCTCGGAGCGGCCATTTGCAAACCTAATCAGCAGAGCCTCCCCCCCCACCGCCGGAAGCTGGGGGCTCGTGGCACAGCACGGCCGGCAGTGATTATAAATCAGCAGATCAGCAGCGATTTTAAAACACTGCACCAGCAGCAACTTTGAGTTCAGCCTGATCTTACTTAATCCGAATGACTCCACTAAAGCATCCAAGCAGTATAAATAAGCAGAATTAGAAGTGACTCTGGGTAGCGGCCCCCATGTGATGTGCCAGCACACTATTATTAAAACGCCCGTTTCCATGTGGGCTGTGGCTGTGAGATTCAGCCCCCGCCTCCCGCCGGGGAGGTCAGTCATAGACACACATGCTTCACAGACTCCATTGGCCTGTAGCCACCCTGTTTGCTTGCACCTTGTTTTTATTGCATTCACAGGTTTTTTGTTTGAGGTTTATATTGTGAGGACCTGAAAAATGTCCCCACAATGTCATAAATACAAACCCACACATACATGCACACTAATGGATTTACGTCACTACAGAGACTGACACCATGCAGAAGAAAGACGTGCACAGTGCACAGCTAGATTCAGGACAAAGTCATCAGCGTGTGCGGCTGGACGTCACTTCACAGTGACAAAGGCTTCCTGTAACCTTCTAGTCTGCCACTCATTTACAGACCAATCGGAGTCTCCATCTCGCAGTAGCCTGACGATTTACCTCAGTCGCCCAGCTCTGCTGGGAGAGGCCAAGTCTCCACTTCTGAATCATTTATAAAACTGCCAGAAGATAAATTGACTGGAAGCTAATGACAGACACGGCACAAAAGATAAAGAAATGTAGAAGAAAAATTTGTAGGGTACAAATCCTTAGTTAAACAACAAAAACAAAAATTGTGTTGCATTTATAGTAATTTTACTGTGATTTCAAATTATGTCCTGCTGAATTGCACAAACCAATTAAAATATAATTAAAAATATACCTGAAAATGGAGGCACTACAGTCATAGAGCACAGCTGGAGATTTCCCAACAGTTATACTTCCTGAATCTCAGATGAAGTAAGACCACACAAGACAATAAACAGACAAAGGACAGATTGGTCTGCAAGAAGGAACGACGCCCAGGTCTTGCACATGAATCCAGAGCTAACAAGGTACCAGGACTCCAGCACCCCCCAGGAGAGAGACACCCCCCCCCAGGCAGAGACAGCAGGACTCCAGCAGCCCCCCAGGAGAGAGACCGTCTCCTGGCCTCAAGCGGAGATGCCGGATCTGCCCTCTGAGTCCCTCATGAGTGCCGATCGTTTACACTCACCGAGGTCCATCACGTTACCATGCAGATCTAACCAATCAGACTCCTGTTCTAAGCAGCTCTGGAGCAGCAGTTTGTGTAATTCAGAGCCCAGGAAACAAGAGTGCAACAGCTTCCTGATTGGCTAAGGAGAACGGCAAGGACTCACTTGTTCCTCTGGAGCTGAAGCATCAGCTGTCTTCCCTCAGCTGTAATAATCACCTCTGCATCCCAGGCCTGGTCCTGAAATACACCGTGCATCCGGTCCTTCACACACAGTGAGAGTCACTATGGCCTCAAACGAAAGCCAGCATCCTACCGCTCTCACCGCTCTTCAGTCTCATTCATACTTTACCTGAATCTTGCATCATAGGCTTGTATTTTATTCACATTGTATGTGGGATCAAATCCCACAACGTGCAAAAGCAAGCAAACATACATACATAAGTGAGCAATATAAATGTGACTGGAGAGCTTACGGCTGGATTCCCAGGTGACCTCCTGTGTCTGGCAGGATACGACCACATCGGGTGAATAATTCCATATTGGTCTATGGAGTGTTGTTTACCCAACCACCTGTCATCTATTAACAAGAAAACAAACACCTTACTGAAATGATGACAAAACAGGAGACCTTTACCTCTCAATTTATTCTTAAGCATTATACTATCCTAATGGTAAAAGAAACTTGCAATTAATACAAAAAGCAATTGAGGTTTAAATTGCGGGGACCTGAAAAATGTCCCCACAAGCTAACGTGGAAAATACAAACCCACACACATATGCACACTAATGCAATTATCTCAGTACAGAGACACTATGCAGAAGTAAGACGAGGCACAGGTTACGCACGTTTACACAAACGCTCGTTTTAAAAAGTTTTAAATTAACGAGGAACAAAATGGGGAATGAATGAATTATGGCAATTATCGGTAATTATTAGTATGGCATACGCGTATAATCGAACAAAAGAAATATACTATAATAATCAAACAAAAGAATAAGTCGTAGTAATCAGCCAGGGAGTCCTCGGCGCACCAGGCTACTTCGGCGACAATAGCCATATGAAGCTCAGCATTTTCAAAAACCAGCCATCAACCGATTTAAAAGTATTATCATTTAGATGATTACAGACCTCCCAGAATACGTCGGGAGTGATCGGTCTGCACTTACCTGAATACGCATCCTTTCTCGATGCTGTGCATTTAAACACAAGAAAGGAAAATACACATACATACAAAGAGCAGTTTAAAGCGATCAGATTACGGAGCCACCGACGACAGCCGGGCAGAATCATGATTAAAAAAAGAAGGGGAAGCACATAGGGCGTATTATAAATGAACCGGCGGTGGGGCCGGTCGCGGAGGCTGCATCCCCTCCACCCGATCTGCTGCGCCCCCTTACGGGCCAAGGACCAGCCGGGCTATTTATACGCAGCCCACCCTTTGGCAATTAGCTGTAGAGGTTTTACTATATTAAAAATACAATATAAGCGTTTTGCGTATTTTCACAAATGCATATCAGTATTGCAGATTATATATTAATTACATGCACATATCTGACAAGCAACACAGACTTGAATCTGCGTTTTCACTCCTACACACACTATTTTGAGGTGTACGTTTAATTATTTAGAAATCTATTTCCACCCGGCAAAGCGTGGCAAGGCATCTCAACCCCACCACAATAGGTCCTGTGTTTAAAAAAATGACAAAACGCGCGACTGCGTATTACAGTAAACAGCTGCAGAGTAACTAGCAATGCAGGGCGCTCGATACTCGCACGTCACTCTTTGGTTCGTTCGCAAGGGCGTGATTATCAGCCACCATCGGCTGCACGTCACCTCTGGGCGATAGGTATTAGGGCCATACTCCAGCCTGGGATGCTGCAATGACGGCTACGGCGGAACGGGGGGCATCGCTAATGCGGTCTCTGAGGGACATTACAGAAGGGGGCTCTCATACAAATGTAAAGGACTGCCTTAGCTTTACCCTGGTAGCACAGGGTCTTTGGCTATCGGTGAGGGTGGCGAGAGAACGTAGAATCCCTATAAACACTGCAGTTATGCACATCAGCACAACCACAACAAACCAACGTCTAATAATTTCGCCAGAGCAACTTTGTTACATACAGCTGCGGATAAAATTAAGAGAACACTCTAAAAAAATCTTATTTTTAAATCCTGGTTTAATCGTGGTTCTGCTGGCAGAAGGCTACACTGAGCAGCAGGATGCTTCCAGGTTCAAAGTTTTTAAGAAAGCAGTACACAAGAATACAGTGAAGCAGGAGACACTGGGAACAACCAGAAACCAGCCAGGCAGAAGACAGAAGCAACTCTCTAATGCCAGAGATGGCCGTTAGCTCATCTGACAGTTTGTCAAGAATCGGAGGGTGACCTCAAGTGACCTTCAAAAAGAAAGGGAAACATTGAGTGGTGTGAAGTGCACTGCTGGGACAGTTTGTATCCGGCTCCTAGAAGCAGGACGTTAGTCCCATAAAACAGGAAAGAAGCCCTTCATCAGTGAGATTATTCATAAACGCAGACCTGTAAATTGAGAAATTAGTGAAACAAAAAATTGTGCTGTGGTCTCAATTGTTTCCACGACTGTATCTTCTGGTTAATGTTACATCCCATCATATTCAAACCTGCGTCATGACACAGTGAGAGAAAAGGCGCCTTCGAATTGGCCGATTGTTTTCTGCCACAGTGGGGCGTAGAGCCCCGAGCCCAGCAAGCGCCCAGCAGCTCCTCGTCCCAGCTGGAGTTGGCAGATCTTCCCATCCATGGTAGAGCTAATCAGGGGTTCAAAGCACGTCACCAGAGCCGCTTCTGCGGACTCTTTTAGACTAGAGTGGTTACTCCTCACTGCAGATAGGATGAAGGCAGAGAGTTTGAACAGCAATTTGTTTCTGCTGGCGATTCAGTGTTAGCCCATAACGAGCCCTGATGATCATTAATCTGCTGCGTGGAATCAGAGCACGATGCTGCACACTCAGTCCAAATCAGTGCTGCGGTCACAGTGTCGGCCTGTCAGAGCTGGGCTCCAATGCCCAGCACTGTGACCAGCTAAGCTGCCTTCCGGGAATCACTGCCTCATTCACTGTGGACTCACTCACAGCAGCAATAGATGAGGCTGCAAAACCACAGATCATCATTTTCAGAAGGTCAAGCCTTAGCTTTTATTTACTCAACTATTAATGCTAAACATGCAGATACAAAACTGGGCCTTATGAGTCGTATCTGATGTAAATGGTGACTGCTCTCCCTCTAAAGAGCCCCTTCATTTGGGAAGACAGGACTTCTGCAGGCAGGGAATTGGCCCAAGCAGTTCACATTTCTTCCAATGGATGGGCTACATCTGCGAGGAAGAAGCATTTCACCATGACATCTGCATGCCTTGCCTCAGCTTCCTAAGTTGTCCCATTTCCGCAGTTAGCTTTTTACAGCAGCTGTGTGCAGTCCAAGAAAAGCACCGTTGGAAGAAGTTCAGTATGTTTTATGTGGTTACATCTCACTCTGGATCAATACGATGTCTTTCTGGGGCGCCCGATCCACAGCGCCGAGCCTTCATCTTACAGAATCTCCATCTGTCACTCACTGCATAGGTATCTGATAGCTACACACACAACTTTACGAGATTTAAATCAGAGACCAGATACATCAGCACAGTGCATTTCTCCGGAACAGATGGATACAGCCACATTCACCTGAAGTTACACCCACTACGGCTTAATGGGTAATAGGAACCTCTCTCATAAAATGTGATTTTTTTTTTTTTTTATGGATTTCTTTATTTATCTTTTCGCCTTAATATTCACCAATATGCCAGTACAAAATTAGCTCATTTTAAATTGCTATTCATTTCATCCTAATTACCATTTTTTTTTTACTGAATTTTGATTTGCTGTGTATTCAGTTTAGGAAGCCTTTCACAAAAGGGATGCATTTGCACTACAGACCTGTAGGGGGCACAGTGATACAGACATGCTTATCTTATAAGTTTATCACTCCACACACATTTAATAGACAACTCCTCTTACCCTCTGTGCTTGGTCCATTCTAAACCCAACTGAAGGCTATCACAGGCAATTCACATCTCAGACCAGTATACCACGAGCACTTTTTATTCAGGTTAAAAAAATATCTGGTTATCTGATCAATAGGCCCTCTAAGACTGCCGATTGGTGTCTTACGGTATTTCAGAACTCACAAGAGTTAAAACTGATCCAAAATTCTTGATGAGCAAAGCTTATGTTCTGAAAATGCCCTTACAGCGCCTCCCTGTGATCGCTAAGTGCTGCTGCAGGAACGGTCAGCAGAGGTCATTCACCGCCTGTGCTCACATTCAGCCATCAGATTCCAGGATCTCCGGATGCTGCTGCCAGAACTGCTCCCCGATGACATCACAGTGATGGGCCGTGACTTTGCTCCTACTCCTCATCACGGTCACCTCCTTCTCCTCCTCATTAGGCAGCCTGACCTGTTTCATTGTCGTCTCATTCACCTGAAACAACACACGTGTATAAATGAAGACCACCCCCCTCCCGCATAGCTCAACTTGGGGACCCCCCTCCTGCCGGACTCACCTTCTCCCAGATGAGGACAGTACCTTTCCTGTACAGCGAAGGTTCATTGTTGTAGTTTACGTTGAACTCGGAAAATAATATTTCATTTTTGTCGGCTGCTACTGTGCCCTACAAGGAAACAGCAAGCTGTAAGGACCTCCCCCCCAGGGGAGGGCCCATGTCACCCTGAACCAATTCTGGCTTAAATACAGAGTCTGTAAGTATGCCCCCCCCCTCGCCCCCCATAGTCCCGCAGCCTGTCTCTGCCCCCACCTGCCCACAGTCCCGCAGCCTGTCTCTGC